TTCCCTTCCTTTCCCTTCCTTTCCCTTCCTTTCCCTTCCTTTCCCTTGCTTTCCCTTGCTTTCCCTTCCTTTCTTCCTTGCCTTTCCTTGCCTTTCCCTGCCTTTCCCTTCCCTTCCTTTCCCTTCCTTTCCGACCTGCAATTCTTCAATTCTGGCGAACTAGGCAGCCTTTGTGCTTTTGGAGGGCCGGCATTGGCAACCACGCATAAATCGTTCTAACTTCTTCAAGCCTTGAGCCCCAACCTGTGCCGCAGATTAAGGACCAGCTCCTTTGCTGACGTGGTGGCGCCTGCCAACTTCCAAAAGCTTCTTGAAGTTGGAGGCCACAGTGGCCACAATTTTTACACAAAACCCTATGCATCACAGTTCATGCATCACACTGACCCCGTACAGTTCACCGGCCATCTGAGGCTAGCCTTTGTACATATTGATGGGGATCTCTACCACTCGGTTTGGGCGCTTGGTCCCAAAAATGGGAATAAAGGGGTTGAGCTTGGCCAGCGGCCAGAAACATGTTGAAGAGGATGCTTGTCAGTAACATGCATCTATGTCTCAAACAACTGGTTGGACTTGTCAGCGCACTATCATGGGGTTGTTGCCGTCCAAGGATGCCTTGGAGAAGGTGTGGGATTTGGTGGTTCCGGGTGGAATTGTAGTGATCGATGACTTCTTCCACAAAGTCCAGGGCCCTGCGCGCCTTTTGGCAGATCAGACAGGTTGCAGGTCAGGTGTGCCGCTGTTCCATCCTAGTAGCGTCCTTTGGCTCCTATTAGTAAGGCCAGGAGCCCCTAGTAGCGTCATTTTGCTAATGGTTGGAAGGTTTGGGAACTGAAGAGCAGTGATCTGAATCCAAGGTGCCACCGCTGACTTCTTTCAGTTGAGGCTGGCATACAGCGTGATATAGCGTGATTCACTGCTGCAGTGCCCGTGTTTTCTCGGAACATGACATGGTCCAGGGGCATTGTCCCATTGCTCTACGTGGTTCCGGCCTATGCAGTGCTGGTGATCAAACCATCTGAGACTGGATGCACAAAGCCACCTTTTCCACGTGCTTTGGCTTGGCGGCCCAGAGGTGACAAAGCGGACCAATGTTGGGACTAGGATAACTGTATTCCTTCATGCGACCTTGTTGTTTCAACATGTGCGGCGATTCCTGTCGTACCTCATAACTGTCGTACCTCATGTAGTTCCTCACATTAGGAGTTCCGAACGCTACGAACGGAACAAAGGGCATCGCGACTCGATCGTAGCTCCAAGTGGGTGGTTTGGGTCGATGCCCACACTGACCGGTCCTTCACACCGGAGGACGGAAATGTCTATTCCTTCGAGTTGATGCGAAGCTTCCGGCCCTTTGCCCGGGGACATAGAGGATTTCCAGATTTCCAGAGGATTCTGGAGCCAATCTGTAGGTAAGGGCCTTGCCTTTATTAGGTTGGAGGCCATTTCAGAATCTTTAGCTATAATTAAGTTACCATAGGACTGCGTGTGTTGTTTCAATGGCCGATGGACATGTCATGTGATGATGATGATGTCTAAATATGGGACGCGCAGTTTTCTGGTACTTGTTGATGTCGTGCGTTGTGGTTTGTTTGCGGTGTGTTGCTGTGATGCATTGTCGCTGTTGCCGTGATGGGCTCCAAATACGGCCGGTTGCTCGACGAGCGGACATGGCTGCGCGTCAAGTTGCAACAACAGTACAGTACACGTGCCATTGCCTTCCCATGGTACTTTCCACAAGGGGGGGGGTAGAGGACGCTACTAGGGGCTCCTGGCATCGCTACTAGGAACAAGGACGCTACTAGGAGCTTTTTCACTTTGATGTTTTAACCCCGAGTTGTTGCACCCAGGGGAGTGGATTTCCAAAAGAGGTTGGCCACTGATGAAACCGCCTGTCCGGAAAACAAGCAAAATTTAACCAAGTTCGATCATGTTTTTTTTTCTTTAGGCCCAAGGCTGGTGAACCCGATGGCGCTGTGCCACAAGTCGACGCAGTCCTGGTGACATTGCAAATAGAGAGGCGGAAACAGATAAACAAGGGCAAGAGTGCTTTCCTTTGCAAGATTGCCACATGTTCGTACATGTTATTACTATTATTATTGCTATTATTGTATTTACAAAAATCACTATTAGGTTGGCGGCCATCGCTACTAGGATGGAGGCCATCCCTAATCATCCCTATGCCTATTAGGTTGGAGGCCATTGTTAGTAGGTTCTTGGCCTGAACCACCTCTTTGACCAAACAGTTTTCTGCAGGAGGCTGGGGGATGCATTCGGTCTTGATGAGGTCGAAGTTGTAGAAAGATCAGCATTGCGGAGTGTTGGTCGTGCACGTTGGGCTCTAAGTCAGCAATGCAATGGTTGCGGGTTTGGCAACTTTAGTTTCTTGGGAATTTTGTTTCCCCAGATGCAACCAGTGTAGCTCAATTACTTGGGGTGCTCAATCTGAGGTGAAAACGCGGAAGACTTTCTGGAGTTTCTTCGATATCCCAACAGCGCAGTCCACGGCCTGGTGTACTGCCTTCAAACCTGTGTGAGTTTTAGGAATTGAATTTCTCTAGAGGCCATCGCTATTAGGTTGGAGGCCATGGCTACTAGGGTGGAGGCCATCGCTCTTAGGTTGGAGGCCATTGCTATTAGGGTGGAACCCATGGATTTGTGACTTCAAATCAGAGCAAATGGCGGTTCTGTGATCTGAGGCCCCGAGTGGCACTGATATCCTAAGGCCAGGAGAGCATGACGAATCGGTTGATGGAAGCCGGGCAGGCAATGAAGAAAAGGTCTTTGACTCCGGGACCCTGCATAAAAGGATGTTTTTTTCCCCAAGATGGCCTCATTGCTTGAAGCAGATGAACACTCTACGTAGCAAGGCTATTTGATCTTTTTAGCCAGTCGCCTCAGATATTTGGCACCGTTGGAAGACATGCTGGACCTCAGTGACGGAATCGGACCTTGCCCAGCTGCCCGAGAGGCGCCGTTTGTGTTTTTGGACCGATCGTGTGTGCACGCAGTCTGCGCGTGGATTTTGGCCATGTTGTTTGCTTTGACTTGGGTTTCTTTCCTGTTTGGTCAGGGCAGGAAGGTGCAAATACCCAGAAGAAAGCGCTTGGAAGCTTCGTCTGCACTCCCTCCGGTGCACCCTATGCATGGCAGCTTAACTGGTTTCAGTGGTTCAGCTATGTTCAGCTGCATGGTAACCAAGGAGCACAATTTCACTCAGTGTGACCTGTTGAAGTCGGCAGATGCATCAAGAAGCACATCTTGCGACGAGCACCGCGCATTTACAGACTCCTGCTCCAAGTTCTGTAATGTTTGTCGTAGATTGGTGGGTGTGTGTGTGACACATGCAGAGCTGGTGCACGTGTTTGTTGACAAGGACGCAGCACGCCATCATGGAGCAGATGAATTGCAGGCAGCAAACGTGGATGGCCTGGCGGGCTGAAGAACACCAAGAAAACATCAGTTTTGAAGACTCCTTGAACAGTCCCCGGCCTGAACAAGACCATTTTCCAACTTGGCACGAGCACCAACCCAGCTAAACGTCAGGGCCTTCAAATGACTTGTTCTTCAGGGATCCTTTTGGAGGCTGGGCTCTTCTTCTCCCATGGTGGGAAGACGTTTCAATGGATTCCTCACGATGATTCACCAAATCCGGACGCCCCAAAAAATGCTTGGAGAAGGGCGTCCTTGAGGGCAACAAACTGGAGAGATAAGCTCTTGGTCCTAGGGTGGCCTCGTGGCACCTCTTACACCTAGTAGGCAATACCCGCGGTTCCCCGCTTGCTAGGAAAGAGGGGCTGACACAATGTCTAGGTCTTGTGTTTTTTCAGATGTTTTCACATTCACCAGATGCTTTGTCATGATCCAACTGCTACCAACCTAGTAGCGATGGCCTCCAACCTGATAGCGGTGTTTTAGATGCTTTCATGTTTTTCACACCAGATGCTTTGATCCAACTGCTAGTAGCGTCCTTGCTCCGTTCGTAGCGATGCGCTTTGTTACTAGTAGCTTCTTGTTCCTAGTGGTAAGGCCAGGAGCGCCCCTAGTGGCTTCCTTGTTCCTAGTCGTCGAAAAAGAACGACCCCTTCAGTGCGAATTGCAGAGGCCAAGATCATTGACCTGGCAGAGAACCTGGACATGTCTCGACCAACCACAGATTCAAAAAACGCAGAGATCCTGGACCAAATTGCAGCTCTGCTAAAGAGGTTTGCCGTTCTGAAGCTTTCTGAGATAGCAAGGCCTTCGCTTTTGAAGGTCATGGAAGGTCATTGATCACGCCCCGGTATCCATTTCTGTGAGCCATTCCTTCAGCCTTCCATTTCTGTGGCAGTGGAGCTTCCTTAGGCACTTCTGAAGCGCTTAGCAGGCCTAGCAGAAACAGTGGAGGCGAATGAAAAAGTTTGGAGAAGAATGGAGTGGTGACCGAAGCTTCTTCTTGCATGTGCCAGCCTTCTGCAGGTGCCCCATGATGCCAGTAGCTGGCAGGATAGTTCAGACTTGCCAGACCCACTGTAGTAAGGCACTTGTTTCTAGTAGCAATCATTGTTACTACTAGTAAGGCACCTGTTCCTAGTAGCGTGGCACTTGT